CCCCCCCCCCCCCCCTCCCGCCCTCCCCCGCCCGCTGCACCATGAGCTACGGCGGCTGGCCTCCCGGCCCCGGGCCCCTGCCCCCTGCCGCATACCCTGGGCTCTACTGGGCGCCGGGGCCGGCCCCGGGTCTGGCCCCGGTGCCGGTCCCGATCCCGGCCCCGGTGCCGGCCCCTCCCCCCGGAACATACTACCCGGCCCCCATGGCCGGATACTACTACCTGCCGGGGCCCGGCGGTCCGGCGACACAGCCCGCGCACTTGGTCCTGCAGCAGCAGCAGGCGGCCCTCGAGCGGCAGGCCGAGCAGTCGCGCGCGCACCTCCGCCAGCAGGAGGCCGAGCTGCGCCGGCTGCAGGAGCACCGGTGGCAGCAGCTGGCTCGCCTGCACCGACAGGAGCGCGAGGCGGAGTTCTCCCGGCGCGCGGCGGCGCTGAGCCTGCGCGCGGCCCAGCTGCTCGGCCCCGGCGGGGCGCCCGCCGCGGACCCGGCGGATGCCCGGGTCCCCTGCACGCGGGTGCCCGACCCGCCGGAGTCCGGGGCCTCCCTCTCGCCGGAGCCCCTGGGCGTCCGTGCGGCCGCCGCGCTGGCCGGCAGCCTGCCCTCGGAGGCCCGGCTGCCGGGCGCCCGGGCCCCCGCTCCATCCCGCGCGGGGGCCGGGCCGGCCCTGTCCCCGGACACGGCCCACCTGCTGACTTCGCTGCTGGAGCGCAATCGGCGTCTGGATGCGGCGGCCGCGACCGCCGGGCCGCGAGTCGCTCCGCCGGTGTGCCGGTGCGGCGCCTCCCCCGTGGATGTCCCCTCGACCGGGGGGCCCTCAGGCCCGGCTGCTCCGGCCGCCCCGGCCACCCCAGCAGCCGCCCCAGTTGCTCCGGCCGCCCCGGGTCCTCCGGCCACCCTGGGCGCCTCGGCTGCCACGAACGCGGATCCGGCTGCCTCGCTGTTGCCACAGCTGACTCAGCTGCTGGCCGACTTGCAGCGGCGGCTGGATGCCTGGCCGCCGGGCGTTTGTCCGGCGTGCTCCGGCTCGCCGCCGCCGCCACCGCCACCGCCACCGCCACCGCCATCATCGTCGCCGTCGGCGGCGCCCCCACCGCCGGAGCACCCAAGCCGTCCCGGCCCAGCCCCGGCCCCCGGGGCAATGAGCCACCCGGCGGGGGGTGCCACGGCCGCGGGGTCCGGCCCGGCGGGCGTCCCCTCGCCGCTGGTCCTGGCCCTCAACCTGCCGGAGATGCCTGTGGCGGATCCCTGGCCGGCGGCCGGTGCGGCGCAGACGGGCGTCGCGCCGGCGGCCACGACGCCGCCCGCCGTGCCGGTGCCGACGCCATTGGCCCATGACCCGCCATCGGCCATGCCTTCGGTGCCTGCCCCGGCGGCGGTCACCTCGGCCCCGGGGGCCGGCATGTCGGGCGCACCGGCACCCGGGCAGCCGCCCTCCCGGCGCGCCGCCTCGGCCCTGACCCCGGAGGACGGGGTGGCCCTTTTCGGCGAATCGCCGGCCGACCATCTGTTTCTGTCGCACATCGACCTGCTCCCGGCGACGGGCGCGTCGTCGGGTCCCGCCGCCCCGGCCGAGGCTCCGCTCCCCTGGGCGGCACCTCCGCCGGGGGGGCGGGGTCCCGGTCCCGGGGGCCTGCACGATGACCTCCCCTGGCTCCCGCCGCCGGCGGGGTCGCAGCCCGCAGCCGTGTAGCACATGCGGGCGATGCCCCGCCGCCCCGGGCCCGCGCACCCTTCTGTGGCCGGGGGGCGGGGGGGGCGGGGGGGGGGGGGGTCGGGCCAGGCCCGAGAATACACCTCCCACACCCACCCGATCGGTCGCCGCGCCGGCCATCGCGGCCGAGATGCACCCTGCTATCATTGGTAACCGCCATTGGCGCGGATTCTGGTGCCGTTTGCCTCACGTGGCAGCGTCACGCCTGGTGAAGTGTATTTACTCCCGACGGACCCGCGGGTCCGTGCCGCCTCCCTGGCCCCTCGGTGTGTTTGTGCGTGCGCGCACAACAATCCATGTTGGTGGTGGCCAGTGCTTGGGGGGCGGGGGCGGGGGCGGGGACGGGGGCGGGGGCGGGGGCGGCGGTGGTGCTGTTGCTGGGTGTCGGCACCGGTGCACGGCATCTTCCCGGCCGAGATCCGCGCGTGTGAGTGTGTGTGTTTGTGTGTGTTCCCCCCTCCTCTTGGGCCGCGTCCGTGACCCGAGGGCCCCCCCCCCTCGCCCGGTGCCCCGGCAGAGGCCGGAGGGCGCGGGACGGAGCGGGAGGGAGAATGCACAGGGGTGTTTTTCATATGGCACGCCTGGGTTCAGGGGTGGTGGCGGGGTCAGCCCGGCCGGTGATCCCCCGAGCCCGGCGGGGGACATCAGCCGCCTCGTGAAAGTGGTCGATGCCCCCGGACTGGTTGGTGATTGCCGGCGGCAATCGGTCGCCTATCTGGCGACTTGGGCATGAAAAAAGGAGACATTATTATGTGCCATTTACAGGTGTGTGCGTGCGTATGTGTGCGTGTGTGTGTGTGTGCGTGTCTGTTGTGCCGACGCGCATGATGAGACTGTGAGCATATGTGCACGCAGACGGTGCCATAGCTCCGAGGAAGGAGCGCGGTTGCTTGCGTGCGCGCAGCTGACCATCGGGCCGTTGGGCGAAACTGTGTTGTTCTCGGGCGCGGCGGGGGGG